AATTAGACTAAGAGGCCTTAGTCCTAATCATTTGTAAAAAAAATATGTTAAGATTCATCAGAAAAAAAAACTGTCGAACGAAATTTTCTCTTTGAAACTTTCCCTGAATGTTGAATTATTCGTGCGTATTTCTAATCCTCGAGTCTTTATTTCATCGTTTGGTTCAGGCAGGCTTAGCGACTGAACTGTCCGAAATCTCAACTTACTACTATAGAGCATACGTTTTTGCTAGAGCACCTTTCAAATTGGCTGCCCTTGAAATATCGCAAACGGAAGACGGAATTGAAGATGCCGCTTTGCTGTCCTGTTTCAAGATCCTGATAAAGCGACGCTCAAAGCAAATAGCGAGGCCACGTGTTTACTCGCTTGGGTAACAGTTTGGCACTCGTGTGACTATCTAAAAATTACAGGGATTTTCCAAAAGCAGTGCTTACCTTCGGTTAAGTCCTTCCGGCATCAAGCATCTTCCTTCAGGAGTAAAACTGGTCCTCAGACAGAAGACACGTCTTCACTGCATCAACGAAGAGTTTGAAATGGGCAAAACTCTAGGATTGCTATGAATATGATGTCAGCTGAAGTCAATAACAAAAGCGACTTGGAAAAAAGATTCCGAGTTCTCCCAACAAAAGTCGAATCTGTCACCGTCCGGCACTCAGCTGCCTACAGGAGACTTTTTAAACGTTTGCTCTATAACTAGACTGTCGAGACGATTGCATCTTTCAAAGTTTCATTTCACTCCTCTTCTTCTCGTTCATTTGAACCCAGTTCTTATTCTATCGCTTACCTTCAACGGGAGCAATCAGGTTTTCCAAGAGAAAATAACACGATTTTGTCTGGTTCTTCATGCAAGTGTTATGGCTTCGTCAAGAGAGTCTCAGAGGGGTGGCTGCTTTTATGACAATGGTTAATACATTGGCTCTTTTTAAAAAAAGGAAAAGTAAACAACAAATTGCAACAGCAACGTAGTTGCATATAAATGTCATTGAAATGACATAAATGTGAAAGCAAAATATTAAGGACAGTACTTAAGGGCAGTGTCACCCATTGCCGGTGCGCGCAGACGCTCTATGCATCACGAGATATGGTCTCGCGGGGAGTCTCGAGTTTTGTTTGAGGATCTCGCGTTGCCGTTTATAGTGATGACCCTATACCTTTAAAGAATAGGCCTTATTCGTATCCTCGGTATTGGACTGGAACTAGCTTGAAATAGAGGCTCATGCGGGGGAATATCATCAAAACGAGGTTAATGTCATTTCAATACCGAGAATACAAATATGGTCTATTAAGGTGTAAGTGTAAATATATCGAGAAAGCTGGATAAACTCAAGTTTCCTTAGCAAATTTCTCACAAAAGAAAACCAGGCCACTGCAGTGCAATCCTCATTATGTACTCCCACTATGATTCTAAAGCAAATTTAATAACGTCATGCTTTGTAAGCGTTCGAGGCTGTGAATACAACCAGACAAATAGACTACAGCATCTTTAAACATACGTTTCCTTCGCGGAAATCGTTCGATTAAGACACTGCAGGGAAACGTCCCACAAAGCGGTTTCAAAATAAAATTGTTGCTAGCCTGCGTAGCAAGCGTTTCCAAAAACACACACGCGAAGGGACAACAATGTTTTGTCGTGTAACAAAGGTGAGTCCTAAGTAGGAAAGCCGACCAGATGGAGCCGTTGTAGATAACGTGATTTACATTCTTTCATCACCCCACGACATCATTGCTATCGAGGTAAATTATTTATACAAAGCTGACTTGTGGAAGGAAAAGCAAAATGACAGCTGTTCTTTCATAAAGGAAGGTTTAACTATCTGGCATAGCTGTCAAGTTAATTAACGTTTCTTTTCGTGTTTAATGTTTAAAGCGCAGCAACCCGGCTACTTTTCCACTCTATTTCAGAAAAATTGCTCCTTGCCAAGGTTTTTCTGAAAGAAAGAACCTTATTTTACATTTTTTTAATCATGTGCAAACGGATTCGATTCGCACAAAGGTATTCACTTAGAGAACTCGTGATCATTTGTTATTATGCTAATTTGTAGAGACTGCAAAAGTTTAGAAATCAAATCTTCGCATTAATTTATTCACTTTTCCTTGAGAATGGTGCCACAATGATGCCGAAATATCGGCTATTAACTTTTAATATTCCCTCGCTTATGTTTTAAAAAAATCGTTATTGATCAAGACATTAATAATTCATCACACAAAAGAAATCGTGACCATGACCATGACCATTTGCGCCCTAAGTTCTCCACAGACTTGACTGTTTGATATATAATATAAAAACGTATGTCGAGATACGCCATATGAATTTTGAGGATATTCTTCTTTCGGCAAACCTCTTCTTTGTTCAACAGCACAATGCAAGACATTTAAAACTCAGCCATCACAGCAGGAGCATGCAAAGGGCTCTTGCGCACTAAAAATAAAACGCCTAAGAAATTGGCATTGGGAAAACGTTGAGTTGCACAAAATATAATAACTCTACTTTGGAGATCAAGAAGCTACTACGAACAGCCAAAGCTGGAGGCGGGTAATTAACTACCACATTGATGAAGCATGGCTGCGCTATTGATTATATTTTCGACCGGGATATTTCTGAGCAACGTTTTTATATTTGGTAAGCACTTAATTTCTTCTAACTTTACCCTTAAAATATTTCGCATTGCATCAACTACAACTCGTTTAGTTCTGTCGGAAATATGAACAAGGGTATGTAAACCTGTAATTTATAAATGTTTTCAAATCAAAAAAGTGCCAAAAAAAAGACTTCACGAACTTTCTGATAATGTATTTTGCGTTCATTCAGAAACAACTACAGATGTACCTACAGACAAAACTTCAGAAACGACACCATCTGTAGCAGAAAATACGACAGACGCACCTACTTCAGAAGTGAAACAATCAATAGCAGAAACAAAAACAGATGCACCCACTTCAGAAATGACACAATTAGAAGCAGATCTTCAAAAGCCAACCCATCAGAAACAGAAACAACTACAGATAAACCTACTTCAGACGCGACACCATCAGTAGCAAAAACAACTACAGATGCACCTACTTCAAAAGTGACACCATCAGTAGGAGAAACAACTACAGATGCCCCTACTTCAAAAGTGGCACCATCAGTAGCTGAAACAATTACAGATGCCCCTACTTCACATGCGACTCTATCAGTAGCAGAAACAACTACAGATGCCCCTACTTCAAAAGTGGCACCATCTGTAGCAGAAACAACTGTAGATGCACCTACTTCAAAAGTGACACCATCAGTAGGAGAAAAAACTACAGATGCCCCTACTTCAAAAGTGGCACCATCAGTAGCTGAAACAATCACAGATGCCCCTACTTCACACGCGACCCTATCAGTAGCAGAAACAACTACAGATGCCCCTACTTCAAAAGTGGCACCATCTGTAGCGGAAACAACTGTAGATGCCCCTACTTCAAAAGTGACACCATCAGTAGGAGAAACAACTACAGATGCACCTACTTCAAACGTGTTACCATCAGTAGCAGAAACAACTACAGATGCACCTACTTCAAGAGTGACACCATCAGTAGCAGAAACAACTAGATGCACCTACTTCAGACGCGACCCTATCAATAGCAGAAACAACCACAGATGCACCTACTCCAGAAGTGACATCATCAGTGGTAGAAAGAACTACACATGCACCAAAAGACAAATCCTCAGAAGCAACACCATCAGTAGCAGCAATAACTACAGATGCACTTTTAAAGACAACTACAAGATCGACACCAACAGTAATTATAATAGAAACAACTACAGATTCACCTACAAATACAACAAAAGGAGCATCGTCGAGCAAAGGATCAGTCAAGTTGGTAATAGCGCAAATAAGTAACATGAACAAGACAGACATTGATTTAGAAGAGAAGCTAACTATCGTCTTTGAAATCAGGTTGTTAAATTTGGCTTTTAGCGAATCTCTTAATGACCCCAAGAGTATCGATTTCCAAGAACTTAAAGCAAAATTAGAGGCTGCTTTGACAGATGTGTTTCACGATATGCCTGGCTTCTTGTTCGTCAATGTCACAGGGTTTCGACAAGGAAGCGTGGTAACAAAGTTCTTGATTGTTTTCAATGATACATCTTATATGAACAGAAGCGAGATAATGGATTGCCTGGATTGATCTAACGGGACGGAAGTAATGCAAGGGTACGTTTACGGTCACGTTACAACTGGAATGGCGGAAAAGAGCGTAAAGGAAGGGGAAAACACGGAGAACGAGACAATAAAGACCTTAATTCCCCGCTGGGCGATAGCTCTGACAGTTGTTGCTTTGTGAGGCCTCTTTATCCTGGCTACTGCCATTGTATGGTTTGTGATCATGGTAAGGTGAAGATTAATTGTCACAATGAGAAATGGGCTGAAATTTTGAATGATAGCTGAGAAATCCACAAGAATGTACAACAACCTCCACTCTCACTCTCGGTATCAGCCAGTTTCCTCAAATGCACGCTTAAGATCCAGACAAATCTCGCAGACTGCTTTGTCCGTCTATTCCGGTGATCTTTTCGTGTTTAAGCCCAGTATATGTGCGCAGGTATATATTTATCGACAACAGCTAGCCATATTTGCACGACCATAAATACATACAGTACATACAGTTGTGCATTAGGAATTCAATAGTGTATAAAAGTTCAGTAAGTCAATTAACAGGCCTACTTTAACGATCCCGCTGCTAATGGCTTCCACGCATTTAATAAATATCTTGTCTAATAATTAAACTTCACAGCGACTACGTGGAGGCAAGTCTCGAACAGAATCTTTCAAGGTAACGGAAGACTTGGAAAATGCCAGTGGAGCCAAAGAACGTTACAAGGAAAATGAACGCACCGATAAAGCGGTGGTTGAGTTCGAAGGAAGTAACGTAGCCAGTGGGAGAGATCAAGGAGCTTCAGACCATATCTACGAAGAGCCACTTAAGAGACCCTACCCTTCTTTACCAGCGGAAATCTTCTATGACATTGCAACAGGACGGTCAAAACTCTTCCAAGAAAACGGTAACAGTCGTAAGGCGAGGAAAGAAGCTATCGTATGTTTTCGTTAAGAGAAATTAACTAATTCCCGATGCTGATCGAACCGCTCAAAAAGTCAGCGAACAGCTGATTTGTGAGCAACCCGGAGAATCAGGATATTTTGCTGTGCTAATCAAGCTCGAAAAGCGGGCGCGTTAGTCGAGCCGTTAAGATGAGACTCATATATACGTTCTATTTTTCAGATTTCAGGAAGAGACCGTTTATGCCGGAAGATGTAGAGAATCGAAGATCGGATGTTTCTAGCTTAGTATATAATTGATTTCGTTAGTTTCGTTTGTGTAAGTTAAGCTGAGAGACCAAAGTTTCGGATCTGCAATAAGTCTTACGGCCTTGTAGTGTAAGAAGTATTGACTTGCAAACCATGTAAGTAATGCATTGTTGTTTTGTAGTTGCAACAAAAAAGAAAAAAGAATATGCCGTTTGTAATGGGAGTTATGGAACCAAGCATTACTGGGAAAACCAAGGCATATTTATACGAAATGAAAATAAAAAAAACTATAAATCCCTGGAACTCTGTTTTTTACTCAGTCTTACTTCGTAAAGGAAAGGTACAACTACCTTTGAAAATTAAATTATCATCTTGGAGTTCTGAGCTAAATGAGAAATACATGATATTTCATATGTTCACTTGTATCTTCACCATCTATATCACGAACTCACAAGGATCAAGTACTTTTCCACCCGGATCCCATGCAAAGCTTGTCGGCTAAGACTGTAGTGCATTTATTCTAGAACGAAAGAAAGGTACAGGTATCACGAGAGGCAAAATAAAATAGCAAAGAAGCAAAATAAAAACATACTTTAGCGCGCACGTGCTACATTCAAAAGCATCTTTTAGTGTGAA